TACTGAGCAGAAGAAACACCGATTAAGATGCCGGACTTTTGCGCCGCACACGCCACGGACTGAACCAAGACTAACAGAGAACTAACCCAGGACTAACCCAGGATTACTCTAGGGCCCCATCCACACTAGTTCGTATTTGAGTTGGTTTTGTTGTGGATACAGTGTTCGTCCACACTAATCCGATTGAAAACGGCTCCAGAGACGGAACGATCTAGTGCTCCCACGAATTCATCTGAGTACAGATCTGATCTGGCACTGTGTGAACGCCTAAACGCTGATACGCTGATGTAGATCTATGCACCATGAAGTAGCTAATTCACTGCCAAAATGCTAAGAGGCTAGAATATATTCATATATACGGTCTATGTGTATGACCTGCAGATGTATAATCTCTGAAACATTTAACATGAACCATCTCCAACATGATAGAAGCACAGAACAGACTCACCATCAGCAGAACACCCCTCTGTCACAGAAAGAACACTCATATTCCACTGAGTCGTGTCCTCTAGTCTGACAGAAGCTGAACCGCATCAATAGTGAAATGTTTTTTGAGTGCTTAGTTTATGCAAATTAGCCATGCCGTTTTAAGTTTAGTTTCTGTAAAATATAAACAAATATGCTCAAAGCTGTGTGGATAGGGAAGGATTGCGGACACAGAAACGACGTGTGTGGACGCAGATAGTTTCTGATACGGTGATACGTGGATTCGTTTCAGTGTAAACGGGGTCTAGGACTGATTCCAGGACTGAACCAGGAGGACAAATGTTTGTAATGCGCATTCATACACTGTAAAAAAGCATGCAAAATTGAACTAAAACAATTTAGCAAAAGGTGAACCGTGTTATAGTGAGGGACGACTGTATATGGTTAAAGGAGCGCTGTGTGACTTTTCTGACACCTGCTTGTCTCTATTTAGATGTTATTGCTTTGCCTGGAATGTTCCACAGTATAGAACATTAAACCTATGTGTCTCCATGGAAACAACCAAACAAGGCCAAACAGATAAGCTCTACGGCGAGGCGACCCTTCTCTTGGTAATAATGTTCATATTTTTCAAAGTGTTTTTGAGCAATTAAAACACCTGTAATTGAATAAATGCAAAATAGATATGTTTAATGCCATACTGTGGAACATCCGAGTGAAACCAATATTATCTCCATGGAAACAAGCTGGCAGAAAAGTTACACAGTGTACGTTTTTTCATATTATAGCGATTGACTTTGGAGTGATCTTTGGACGTCAGCGTTATCTTGACTATTTGAAATTTAGAGGAAAAAATGAAATACTGAAAACCGTTTTTATTAGTTTTTTAATAAGACAAAATGTTATCTATTCGAAAACAGTTTAAAAAAAAAGTGAGGAATTTCTTTAGTTATAATTCAAGGTTTCAGTTTTTTGTTGTGGGTGCAATTTTGAGGATTCTGGACCATTCAAAAGTTAGAATATTTTGTTACTGATAATTAATAAAGGTGTACCCATAATACTAGTACATGTTCATTGTCAAATTTCATCCATTTTCTAACATATTTTCTTTTATTCCAATTCCTCACCGCAGCAGAGCCCTATCCGTGGAGGAGGGAAGGACACATGAAGGGCAGTCAGTTCGATCCAGGTGGGACAGGTTTGGCTGTGTGAGATAAGAGCCACATCCCGGAGAAAAAAAAAGCTCCAGAGGGCGGCTTTAAATGGCTCAAAGGCACGACGGACAGAGGCCCATCAGAGGAAGAGAAAGGTGGAGGAGGGCCCAGATTTGAACAGAGATACCGGAGCAAAACTGTTCTTTAAGACCGCTCCTCCCTGTGGTCCCGATGGTCATGTCTAGACTACCTTTAAACACGGGAGATGTCCGATTGCCAAAGCTTTTTATCGGCCTTTTTAAAGTTTGACATTGTGATTATCGACTGGTATTTTCTTATCCAAATATAAAGGTGCACTGTGCAACTTTTCAGGAGGAAAATCTGCCTGCTTATCTCCATGACGACAGGTTAAGGTACACTGTATTGTCCCCTTAAAATTTGTCCTCTGCATTTGAAGTTATTGTGTTTATTCAATTACATGGATTTTTAGAGCTAAACATGCATTCTTACTATTAATGGGATTCCCCTCTCCACAGATCTGACCTGTAACTAGGCCTATTGGTGTCCCCAGATAAATAAGTTTAATATTATATAGTGGAACATTCGAGGCAAGGCACTTAAGTTAGTATAATTATGTAGTTTGTTTCACCTTCTACAGCTCATATTTTAACGTACAACCCAAAAAATGTAAAGGTTCCTCACAAGTGAAAATACAAAGTACAAAACAATTTTAAAAAAGAAAGTAATTTATTGAACTACCGTATTTTTCGTACTATAAGGCGCACTTAAAATCCTTTAATTTTCTCAAAACTCTACAAGAATTGTGAGAATTGTAATCCGGTAATTCTGGTTGTGCTTACTGACCTCAAACCGATTTTATGTGGTACATGCCGCTCAAAACTCTGTTAAAATGTTTTAGTACGACTTTAGTAAACTACGAAGCTGCACCGCTTGATGGATTGTCGGAGCGTTACGGCTACTGTAGTCAGGAGCCTTGCAAAGTCCAACAGAAACTGACCGCATCAGTGCACAAGTAGCGATCTGTTTTATTCAGTGCTTATAGTTTATGCAAATGAGCCATGTGGTTTTAAGTTTTGTTTCTATAAAGCGCAAACAAATGTGCGCAAAGCTGCATTAAACACATTATTACTCAATGTATATATGAGTTTTCCTCGTAGGAAATAAAAAAAACAAACTTATATTATCCACCCACATTCACATTCATAATCCACATTCACCAAGACAGAGAGGCAACGCCGCGCGAATTACACCACGATCTGCCAATGGATCATGGATGCCTGGGCTAAGGGATCAGTCTCAAGTGTCGTCCATTTGTTTTGTTTAATGCACCTTATAATCCAGTGCGCCTTAAGTATGAAAATAGACGACAGAATGAATTCAACATTATTGATTTTGCACCTTATAGTCCGAAAAATACGGTATAAACTGATATAGTAATTATCGTGACCGACCTTCTCACACATGATACCAGTGTACCACCAGATCTAAACCAGGTCTATAACAGGACTATTCCAGGTCTAGTCTAAGTCTAAAACCAGGTCTACATCATTTCCAGCACAGATCTGAAGAGGGACTTATCCAAAAGAGGACAAAAAATGGATAAAGTCAAAATCAGGCAAACTCACAAACTGAAAAAACTTGTGTACTGCACTATACATTGATATCAGCGAGATGGATCCATTGTTTAATGCCATACCCTGGAACATACCAGGAAACTTAACAATTTTAACTTATTTGACCTTCTAAACTACATCCATAAGTTGAATTATGTGTCTTGCCCAAGGATGCAACAACTGTGAATACTCTGATCTGAGCTGGAATGGAATCACAAACCTTTCCGCTACGAGACGACCTCTCTAACACCTACACCACTGCTGTCATTCAAAGGTTGTGACAAACTGAAGCAAAAACTATATACTTCTGAACAATGAAAAACTCAAACTCCAAACTTTTACCCCCCACACAGGCGCCATGACAGAGGAGAGAATGTGACGGCTACATTAAATCTCCTCTATCTGCTGTGGATCTGTGCGTCTGTAGCGCCGTCATGTCTCTGGTCTTATCTCTCCTGGCAGTACCCCCCATGCTCCTGTCTCCGGGCCCAGATCTGAGGTGACGATGGCTGACGCAGATTTCAACCAGCATTTGAGACTCGTCCAAATCTTTCTCTATCTCCCATTCATGTCCCGAACAATCGCGGCGCTCCCATTGGTCGTGTTCAGATTCTACAATGTGATGATGTCAAAGTCCCAGATGAAGAGCAAGAAGAGACTGTTTTGTCCTATTGATTAGATTGAACGTTATCATAAAACTCCAAAAGGTAAATGCACAAATGTCGAACCGGATCATTTCTATTATTGAGTATACCATACATTGTATAAATAAATGAACCTGCTGGCCGCCGCATTCCAAATGGGAAGTGTTCATGGGGGTGCTTCCGGCTCCATCAACGTTTTCGAATATTTTCAATTGATTTTACATTGAAAAATTGTCGCTCTTCTCTTTGTAACTGCTTGTGAGCCTCATCATTTTGGTCTTAAAATATTTGTATAACCTAAAATGGACCTCTGTTATATGAGTATAGTGTGTTATTATGTGAATACAGTTTGAGCAAATTTGTGTGTGTTTTCATTCCGCCACTACATGTGCAGCTACACAAAAGGCTTGGCTCTTTAATATCCACGAGGGAATTCGTCCGTGACTGGGGTGGCAGTGTTTCCTGCAGCGATTTATAGTTAGGGCGGCCGCTTTGACAACAATTGCCCAATGCCTTGACTACGTCCCTCCAAGTCACGTGAATCCTCGCAAAACCACGGTCGTCGCACTGCAGTCCTCACTCGAAACCGAAGCTCGGAGCCCACGGAGGCTCAGAGCCTGCAGATCCATCTATAGTTGTTGATTATTAAATAAATATATGAAGTAAATGAATGTGTGATTCACTTCATTTAGTTTTTTTTAAAATAAATTATGTCAAGATAGCCAGCAATTGGTCCGTGTGAAGGCCCAGGGTCTAGGTCCACAGTTCACCACTGTTTTATCAAATACATTTCCCCCCAAAAGTGCGACTTATATATGTTTTTTTCTTCATCATTATGCTTTTTTAAAAATATGGAAACACATCCAAACAGCACATGCCAATGAAATATTGCATGGATCTGGAACACTATGAAAAAAAGGCCAGAAATGTTTGTCTCGGTCTGGATGTCATTATGTGAGTATAGTGTGTTATATGAGTTCAGTGCGTTATTATATTACTATACTTGTATTATTATGTGAGTATAGTACATTATTGTATTAGGATTATATTGGTATAGTGCATTATTATATGTGTATGTTATTATTTGACTATTGAGTGTTATGACTATAGTGCATTATTCTATGAGTATAGTTTTTTCTCACCGCTGAGCAGAGGCTGGTGTCTCCTGTACGTTGGGGGCAGAGGTCCCATTCGCTCCTGTCTCTGGTTCAACACTCGTCCTAAGTGTCCTGTGTGACGCAGACTGCCCACGGTCAGACTGTGCAGGTACACGGGCTCCACAAAGTGACTCAGCAGCGCCCCCTGCAGACCCAAAATGTTCCACCTGAGGAGAGAGGAGAGGGTAGAGGTCAACAAAAAGGAAAAGTAGTCCATAAAATTCAGTGAGAACAGAGGCAAATTCATAGGGTTGAATTCAAAATGTAGATTGAGTTATCTTTTCATACCACTTTATTAATTAAGATTCACTGTGTGTGGAGTGAACAAACATAGCACAAAACTGTAAAGTGATTTAAAGTGTCTGAAAGTTACATACAAGACTATACACGATGACTGCACTATCATTATATTTTTAAAGGAACTATATATACTCCAAAAAATGTATTATTTGTAATATTATTCATTGCTTGTCGTCAAAAGTCTCACAATAACATCGTGGACTGTCGCAATATATCAAATGACAAGTTCCTTTGCTTAAATGCATGGTTTTATAGTAGCAACAGCTAATAAACATTGGGAACTACATATCCCACGATGCATTTCAGTGCAAACATGAAGAGATATGTTTTTTACTTGAATTCTTGGGATTATGATGGAAATAATTCACACCAAAATCTTTTCAAGGTATTTTAAAAGCAAAAAAGTGTCCCAGCTACAATTATATTAGTCTCTCCAAAATATCGCAATAAATATCGTACCGTAAGATGCATATCTTGATGATATCAAACTGAGAGATTTGGATATTGATACATCCCTATTGCTTAGTGAACTACTTTGTGAAAAAATGATACAACAACAACTGGATACAACAAAATAAATTTGGTTAAAAGCTCCAAAAGCTCAGCATAGATGAGCGGAGGAAGTATAAATGTTAATCTTGGGATTGGATTAAGAAAAGCAGAGATGTCAACAGCTGAGTGAAGGACATCAAGAGCGAAAGAGAGCGACCGAATGAGGTTTAAAAATAGAAACTGTCCGATACGGTGGAGGGCGTGTTGGACCGAATGGCTTTAGTGACAGGTAGAGACAATTTGATCATTATCTTGATGTGAGACGTGATGACTGCTACCTGTCGCCGACGTCAACAAACCCACAAAACTGCACACAAAATCCTACAGTTTTCCACTCTCTGTATATATATATATACTGGTATGTGGAGCCTGTTTTTCCATAATGCGCACTTAAAGGTCATTGCATCCACTTCCATTACAGCTAACGATAACATTAGCATATGTGGATTCAGCAGCGGCGCCGGCTTAATGCACCGAACGGGACCAGAACATATCGATTATAGGCTGAGAAATTTGTTTTGGGGGGATTTACAGGAGGCAAAAAAAAATCCATAGAAATGAATAAATGTGGGCAGCATACATGGCATTAATGGAAAATAACAAGAAGTTTCATTTTAATTTTATTTTAATATGTACTCCTGTGATTTTAGTAAATGTTACACTGATATTATTACTGTTAAATCATTTCTAACTTAACGTATTATATCTTGTGAACAGTAGAGATGTAACGATATCCAAGTCTCACGATACGATATTGTCATGGTATGAATCTCACGGTACGATATTTATTGTGATATTCTGGTAAAGCTCATGATATGTTGGGGAGGCTCATGATTAGAGATGTAACAATATCCAAACCTCTCTATTTTTACAATATACATCTCACAGTACGATATTTATTACGATATTTTGTGGAGGGTAAACAGCTAAAACTGTGAATATGCTTCTTTTTCTTCTTAAAATGCCTTGACAAGACTTCATCCAAAGAACTAAGACTTAAAAGGGCTTAGAACTGTTATTTCTTCTTGTAGTCTGCACTGAAATGGAGCAAAGGATCATGGTCTATGTAGTTCCCTCTGTGTTTTTTTTAGCTATTGCTGCACCATAACTCTTAATTTAAGCAAAGAGACTTGTAATTCGATACATTGTGATGGTCCACGATATTATTGTGAGAACTTTGACGATACGATATCACGATATATCAGTTATTGTTACATCCCTAGTAGAGTTAAAAGAAAATGTTTTACTATTTTATATCTAAAATGCCATAGATTGTTATCGTGAAAACCGTTTTTATTAGTTTTTGATTAGACAAAATTAAATCTATAGGAAAATTGTTGTAAAAAAGTGATACATTTCTAAATTTCTAGTCATATTTCCCAGCTCTAATTCAAGGTTTCATGTTTACCAGTCAGACCGTGCATGCAGCGTAGCTTTAGCCCGTGGAAATCAAGATCAGTTTTTTTTAAAAATGGTTGGAATCCACTTTGGAAAATGGACTATGAAAAATTCCATCTCAACAAACCACCAGATGGCGCGCTAAACAACTGTGTGGCGGGACAAACTGTTTTCCATTTTTCCGCTGCTTCTCGAACCGTGAAATATAATATCGAACTGTGGATTATACCTATTGCGAGTCTTGAACTGTGGATTATTAGCCTGATTCATCAGCCGGTTTCACTTCGTGGAAACTGTCTGACCTCGCAGCATTAGGATTCATTCGCTTGACAATAGGTGGGTACATTTTTTATTTAACCAATCGCTGCTATTTGGTCGTGACGTGTGCAATGCGCCAAATCCTGTAGGAAGGACAATAACATCTTTCCCCTTGATAAAATTCACCAAACATTCTCTTTGTTCCGGTTTTAAATCCTCGATCTCAGGAATCGTTGCCAACACAGAATGTGTGTCTTCATCTACATCCATCTCGACTGCTTTGTTTACTGTTGTGCTGCTACGGTATTGAGATTTGGGGCAATACATATAAGACTAATACAAATCCAGTCTTTACCTTGCAAAAAAAGGCAATAAGAGCAATCACATCATCAACTTACAATGAATCAACCAATGCATTATTTATAAACCTTCAAACTCGGAAATTTTATGATTTAGTCGACCTTTATACTCTGAAACTCATGTTCAAAGTAAACAATAATCTCCAGTCAAAATCTTTACAGAACATGTTCAAAATCCGAAAGAGACAATATGAGCTCAGAGGCACGGCCATGTTTATCAAAAAGAAAATTAGAACAAACATGATGAAATTTTGTGTATCTGTTAAAGGGGTGGAGCTGTGGAACAACTGTACAGAAAACCTAAAACTGTGCACTACTCTCTTTCACTTTACAAAGGAGTTTAAATGTTTAACTCTGGAAAGATACATGAAATATGATACTTAGTTTGTGCTGTAGGACTTTGTTGTTCTGTTTCTGATTTGTTTGTTTCCTCTTGCTGTATTTATGAAGATGAACTGGTGTTTAGATGATGCTCTGACAAAGGAATAAAGGGTAGCCAGTGTTGGGAAGGTGACTTTTAAAATGTATTCCCCTACAGATTACAGATTACATACCCCAGAATGTAGTTTGTAATGTAATCCATTAAATTACTTACAGTGAGTAACGTAATCTGAATACTTTGGATTACTTGATATTGTCATGCTTTTTAGTTTAGTTCTGGTTTTAGTCCTGGTATAGTCCTAGTTTAGTTCTAGTTTAGTCCTAGTCTAGTTCTGGTTTTAGTCCTGGTTTAGTCCTAGTTTAGTTCTGGTTTTAGTCCTGGTTTAGTCCTAGTTTAGTCCTAGTTTAGTTCTGGTTTAGTTCTGGTTTTAGTCCTGGTTTAGTTCTAGTTTAGTCCTAGTTTAGTTCTGGTTTAGGTCCTGGTTTAGTCCTAGTTTAGTTTTAGTCCTGGTTTGGTCCTAGTTTAGTTCTAGTTTAGTCGTTTAGTCCTAGTTTAGTTCTAGTTTAGTCCTAGTTTAGTTCTGGTTTTAGTCCTGGTTTAGTCCTAGTTTAGTTTTTGTTTTAGTCCTGGTTTAGTCCTAGTTTAGTCCCAGTTTAGTTCTGGTTTTAGTCCTGGTTTAGTCCTAGTTTAGTTCTAGTTTAGTCCTAGTCTAGTTCTGGTTTTAGTCCTGGTTTAGTCCTAGTTTAGGTTTGGTTTTAGTCCTGGTTTAGTCCTAGTTTAGTCCCAGTTTAGTTCTGGTTTTAGTCCTGGTTTAGTCCTAGTTTAGTTCTGGTTTAGTCCCAGTTTAGTTCTGGTTTTAGTCCTGGTTTAGTCCTAGTTTAGTTCTGGTTTTAGTCCTGTTTAGTCCTGTTTAGTTTGGTTTAGTCCTGTTTTTGTCCTAGTTTTAGTCCTGGTTTTAGTCCTGGTTTAGCCCAAAATGGGAAAACTTAAAATTACTGCCATGTAATCCATTTATTTCAACAAAGTAACTGTAATCCAATTACCACTCACTGAAACAGTAACTGTAACCGAATACAGTTACTCATAATTAGTACTCTGATTACATAACTCCAGTACATGTAATCTGTTACTCCCCAGCACTGAGGGTAGGCATAATAATCTTAAACTTCAGCCTACACCTTTTCGGTCTGTGTACGTTAAATATGACTGTGACTGAAATAAGTGATCAATCAATCTGTACCACAAAAGGAACCCAGACAGACGCTTGAGTTTGACGTCATGACTTCACATCTCTTCTTCTCGTTCTTACAAAATATCTAGTGTATTCCAATTCCTGACCTAGTCGCTGGAGAGAAATGAAATTGAGCGAAGGCAAAAAGTAGCACCAGTGCGAGTCTCAAACTGTGGATTACTCTTTGACGACCTCTTTTGTGAAAAATTAAACTGTTTATTTTTGTTTAAAAGACTAAAACTAATTTCCGAAACCTGGAACTTGAACTCTTGTGCTACTTTTGAGTTTACAATTTCACTTCCAAATCCTAATAGGCTTTATTAATTGCTTCTTGCTTTAAAAAAACACTATATAATAACTACAGTACTGGTGTTTTTATCTTCATTCACACCTCGAGCTCCTTCAGAAAACCTCTCTAAGCCGTTTAATATTCTCTTGCCTAGTCTTAAATTAGCGTTACATTAGCGTTTTTTCTTTTTTAACATATTCTTTGCTCTCGTGTCTAAACATCACATATCTAAAACCGCTCTAATAAACTCCCATAATTCCCTTTACGCCGGTGTTCTTTATTGAATTAAAGCCTGTGCAGTTTTAATGTGTTAAAATGGCGTCTTGTTTTCCATTCTAACTTAATCATCACTCAACTCTTTCACGCTCAATTAACCTTTTCTGCGCTAAACGGGCCCA